TCTTGCTTCTTGCTGTAGCGACAGCAGAAAAACTGCCACTCCCGATCCAGCACCGACTCGAAGTAGCGGCTCTGGAAGCCCGCCACCAGCCCGTTGTTGGAGCACGTCTGGTACCTGAAGGGAAGAAAGCAACCCCCGAGTAAGCACGGCCGACGATGCGCCCACAGACCCCTTCCGAGGACCCCGGCTCCCCCGTCGCTGAGTCAGGCTCCCCCCCGCCCCACGTTCCTGACGACCTACTCCGTTTTAACGCAGCTAAGCAAGACGCCGTATCTGTAAAAAGGACGTATGCTCACCATTAAATTCAGACATTTCAGGATCTATCAGATGAAGGAACTTTTGGGGACGCTGCTCCCGTTAGACCTCTGTGAATATACAGTTAGATGGACGGGTGCCTACGTGGATGGATAGAGAGGCATCTAGAATTTTACAAATGCAAGATTGGATTATTCATGCCATTTAAAATAAAAGGTGTCATAATTCATTTTTACTTGAATTCAAAATAAAAAGTAGACAGAAGCCCCGTGAGTTGATGAACTTCCAATGAAGGTTTCTCCTGCTTCAGAGCAGAGCCCTGGAAATTAAGCCCAAGGATGCTCATTCACTTGACCCTCACACAGCGGGCGAAGCCTGGGTGGGCACAGCGGTTGGTCCGGGCTGAGCCAGCTGGGGAGCTGGGAACACACCCCAGGTTTCCACTGCTGACCAGCAATCTTCCTGCCTCCCCCTTTACTCTGCTCCCCAGGATCGGGAAGTATTCTGGTCTGAACTCTATGGCCAGCGTCCGCCGGGGTCCTGGCGTATGGGGTCCTGGCGTACTGAACTCCTCAGTCACCCTCTAAGGTCTCTTTCTTGCCTCAGCTGCTGGGGTCTGACCTTCAAAGAGGGTGAGACAACCCCCTCGTCTGTCCTCAGACCTTCCTGGGTCTTCGTTCTTTTTGTCCTGTCCGGGCTGCTGCTGGTCTAGGAGCCGGACCCTTTCGCCGTCACGGCGTCGTCTTCACTAGGTGTTGGCTTAGGAAAGTCTGCCGTTTCTTCCTCTGTCCCGTCCGGTCCCGCTGGTGCCGGGAGGCGCTGCTGTTTGCCATGGTGGTGAGGATGCTCTTTCCCACGTGGCCACGGCCGGGCGCCCGCCTCATGCACCAGGAGATCTCACACGAGCCCTTCCGAAGCAGGCCCTTCGCTACCGCTGTTCCTTAGCGTCCCCCGCCGGCCTGGCCTGGCTGTTGGCCGCGTTCCCTCTTCCGGGTGAGCAGAGTTGGCAGCTGTCGGTGCGTCACAGCCTGACAGCTGTGGGAACCCAACCCTGTTCTCCAAGTAAAGATAAGTTTCCAGAAAATACAGCAGATGAGAGTAAGGACCGTGTGCTGATAGGTGGGAGGGACCTTGCTGACACACGGACTGTAAGTCCATCAGCGGCTGGATTTCGTCTTGTTCTTTTTACTGACTGGAGATGATCTCGTGGGTCTGAGAAAACTAGCTATTAAATACATTCCCTGTCTCTGGCCAGAAAATGTGTCCTTATCACTCATTGGTTCACATTCTTTCACATATGCATTTATTTATTCGTCCGTCCGTCTGTCCATCCGTCCAACTAACAAACGTGGACGGCTGCTCTTCCATGTCCATCACTGTCCCTCCGTGTGGGGAGAAGGTGGCCAGGCGCCTGGTCAGCCACGCACGTCAGCGCGAACGCCCAGGGCCAGGACCCGCTCTGGTCCTCACGGACCTCGCAGGGCTCAGCCTCAGAGGTCGATGATGCGCGTGAGGATGCGACGTAGCCCTGTGCCCACTGGTGACCTGGCTTCTTCACTCTGCCATCGCCCACGTCTCGCTGGGAGTGGCACCGCTTCGGAGACCACTTGGCACGGTGCGTGATGCCACACGCCTGGCATGGACCGCCAGGGGCTGGGGCCGAGCGGAGTGGGACCGTGTGACGTGGGAAGTGCGGCGTGGTCTGTTCTAGCCTAACGCCAGCACAGAGTGGCAGGCCACTTCCAGAGAAAGCTCTGCGCGTCGGGAACAAGGCCCGTGTGTGTCCGAAGGGGCCCTGCCGCGAACTGGTGCTCCCCGGGACTCGGCTCCTTGCCCCGCCACCCCCGGGACCTGCCTCCCTGTCCCCACCTCGGAGACCCAGCTCCTTGGGGACCCGGCTCCTTGCTGCCTTTGCAGTCCTGCCTTCCTGCGGAGCAGCCCTTCGCAGCGGGCAGCATCATTTGCGTGGAGCTGTCTGTCGCCGCGTGGCTTCGGTTTGCCCTGTGCCCTCAGACCACTGCAGGGACAGTGTTCCCGGTGGTAAGTGGCCTGAAGAAGTGCTGCAGGATCAGCTGACTGCTTCACGGGGCGCCTGTCCCGAAGGCCATCGAAGTTCCGTGGATTCCCCACCGACTGTCGGCCCGGCAGCTGGCCCCACGGCCCCGTGTGGAAGGCGTGTGTGTCACCCCCTCACACGCCCCGTCACAGCACTGCCCAGTGCAGACCACTGGGGCACGGCAGACCCAGGCCTCAAGAGCAGACAGCGGAGGTTAGTACCAGGACAGAAGCCCCCTCCCCAGCCCCTCTCCTGTTGCCAGCACGTTTCTGTGGAGCGAGCCTGCATTTCCGCCGGCCAGCACACTGAGACGGGGCCTTCCGGAGGCAGATTTTTGTGGGGCACATTTCACATGTGGGGAGCAGCGTCGCGGAGCGGTTAGGCCCTGGGTCCCGTGGGCAGGCGTCCTGCCCTCTGATGGCCTCAGTTTGTCATCTGTGAAATGGACATGCTCGTTAGAGCATGTGCTCGTTAAAGTTACTGCGAAGACCAGATCAGGCAGCACACGGACGGTTCTGGGGACAGCGTCTTTTGGTGCTCACGAAGTCGCTTACTGCTGTCATGTGCTTTCCCTTAGCCCGCACGGCCGCCGTGAGTGTGCTGGGCCCCTGTCCCCAGGCCAGTGGACGCACACCATTCCCTCCACAGCTGGTTCCCTGGAGCGAAGCTCACGAGGCCGGCTGTCCTCGTGGCTGACGCACGCCGCCTTGTGACCCTTTAGCACGACTTAGAGCCCCCAGCAGACGGCAAAGTCCTAGAGGGAAAAGATCGTCCGATCTTCAGCTCGCGTCCCCTTCCCCCCTGTGCCTGACACTGGGGCCCAGCAAATGTTTAAGGGAAGAATGAATGAATGAATGAATGAATGGTCAGGGCATTGTCCATTATCCACACACACACAGACCGTCTCCAGGCCCGTCACCAGCTCCCTGTGTCGGGGAGACCATGTGGCATAGCGCCCTGGACTCCCCGGTTCCTCCTGTGACCCAGCTTGCTGAAGGCCTAAAGCCCTCTGAAGCTCTGACTCCTGTTGGTTCTGTTTTCTCCCCCGGGATAATTCTTTGGGTTGCTCTCAGCTGTTTATAATGCGGTACCACGGAGATGTAGAACAGCTTCTCTGGATGGAAAGATGTAGAGCGGAGCACGGGGAGAAACACAGCTGCTCCCCAAATGCAGACTCCTGCCCCATTAAGCGGGAGAGTCTACCCGCAGGCCTCTGAGGAGATCCGGGTTGTCTCAGGGGATGTGCTTACGTCCTGCGGTCGATGTGGCACGTTGCAGGTCGTGGGGTTGCAGGCTTACGCATAGGACCTCAGGAGCATGTCGTTGCAATATTTGTCAACCAAGGGGCCTGGCGCCACCTCGGTGCCTATCTGAAAATAGGACGATGTTCGGGACACTCATGATACGCACTTCATGTTTATAGATCGTAACCGAAGTATGTGTTCGCCAATCAGAACGGGGCACACCAGGGCCCTTTGCGACCCAACAGTTTGCTTTTCAGCTCCAGCTTCGTAATTTACCGGCCGAGGGGCATTTATCTCTTTGAGTTTTGGTGTCTACAGAGCAGTCATGGTAGTAAACATAAATGACCTTGATCAAGGACTCACCTTGTGTCAGGCGTTGTGCTAAGCGCGGTTCGTATGCTGATTATTTTAATCATCGAAACAATTCTATAAGACGGGCTGATGATTTTAATCATCGAAACAATTCTATAAGACGGGCTCAGATAATCGGGTCCCCACGGCCATCGCCATCCGGCACGTGGGGAACTCAGCTTTGCAGAACCGACGGAATCCTCCGAAGGACGCGCCGCCAGTAACTCGGCTCTGTTGTCTCACCTGAGTCTCACGGTCCCGGGCCTTTGTCTTCGTGGAGGCAGAAGCTGAGGCTTAGCGGCCGATGCGCCTTGTCTGTGTCACGGTGGGGCTGCGTCGTGGAAGTTGCTCTGTCTGACTCCGAGGTTCCTAATCTTTCCATCACTTCGAGACACTGCACACACACGCACGTACACGTGTGCGGAGGGAGTTATCCTGGGAAAACTGTTGATGAGGAAGGGTATGTCTGACAAGTCCCCAGGCAGGAGCAAACGCCCTGCCGGGAAGAGTGGGCCTTTCCACCCCGGTGAGCACAGCCAAGAGCCATTCTGCAGAGCTCCCCAGACTGTGGATTCCTAGTACTTAGGAGAGTGACCGAGACGGAAAGTTGGCAAGCATCCTGCATCTGCCATGACCCGTCCTCCCACACTCAGGCTTCTTGCCCTTAGAAGCCGTCCTCACATGGATGTGACATCTCCATTAGCCGGGCATTTCCCGACGGCTTTATCCAAGAACAAAATTAACGCCAGCATGTAACATCCACCCGCGGCACTGTGGTGTCAGATGGTCTGGTTTGGGTTCCACCTGACTACGAGCGGGTGACTTCGATGCTTCTGAGCCGCAGTCCCTCATGCGTGAACAGGGGGATAGGAGGGCCTGCCTCCCGGGGTTGCCGTGAAGGTCAAACGAGACTAGACTCCAAGAAATCAAGAGCAGAGACCGGGTGGTGGTCTCCTTCACATTGCTGGGGGCTGACGAAGTCTGTGGTCATGAGCACTGGGCAGCGAGTGAACGAGCGAAGGAACGTAAGGATGAGGCATTTTTATAGACCGCGAAGCACCGCGTCCATCAGGATTAGGGCCACAGCACCCCTGTTTAATGCGACTGCTTCATCGACGCCTCAAGTCCTCCACTCTCGCGGCCTCGATTCCCCATCTTGACGTGAGGGTGTTGGAGGCTCTGGGCGATATTCGAGGCCCCTCTGGAGCTGACACTTTGGTTCTGTCACGCTGTTTGCCTTTTAAACTCCCGGCATGTCCTCTGTCCGCCTGCAGCTTCATGTTTTTAAAGTCCTTTTATTTCGGAATAGTCGTAGATTTACAGAAGCCACGTAAAGATAACACACAGGACTCTGCAACCCTTCGCTTAGCTTCCCCAAACGTTATTCACGACTCTGGCGCCTGTACGAGCCCTAAGCAATTAACAGGATGCAACGCCCAACTCCAGGCATTATTGGATTTCACCGGTTTTCCACTAATGTCTTTTTCTGTGCAGGACGCCATGTAGCATTTAGCCCTTATGGCTTCGGAAATAAGGAGTTTCCTATTGTGTTTTTTAAACTCGTTGGGACATCCAGGTTTCGGGGACAATGGAAACGTGATAACAGGTGTGTCAGCCACGCTCCGTGCATGTGTCAGAACGAGGCGTGCACGGTAGAGCCCACGTCGTAGACGCTGGGACCCTGGGAGCCAGGGGCGTGACGTGAGTAGAGTGATTTCCCACGGGAGGACCTGCAGGCTTCTTGATTGAGGGCAGAGGGGACATTGGCTGGGCCTGGCCAGCCGGAAGCAATAACTAGCCTGATTTGGTCTTTCACTGCGTGTTTAGTAGGGCCTACTATGCGCCAGCATTCTTCCAGACACTGGGGAATATTCTAGACAGTGTCGAATGAGATGAAGTCCCTATGTTTGTGAAGCTTAGGTTTTGAGGGAGACAAACATGTACAAATGCCGATCAGGTAATGACAGGCACACCACAGGAAGCATCGGGCCGGCGGGGAGGGGCGGGGGAGAGGCGGGGGTCTGAGAAAGCCCCTCTGAGGAGGCGGGCACCGTGCCCCCAGAACCACGACTCAGCATGGGGCGCCGTGTGCCACGGTGAGTCAGACGTGGAAACTGAGTAGCTTCAGACCCGCCTTGCTGCTAACTAGCTGTGGTGTGGCTTTCGTCTCTTCTCCGTCACGTGGCTTGTCTTTGGTGAATTCACAGGTTCAAAGAGTCATCTCTAGTCCCGTCTAAATGTGTCTTCTTGAGGTTTTTTGAAGCCCAGGGAAAAAAGTAGGTACCACTAGTCAGAATGTGGTCCCTCTGAATTCAGGATCCGTGTACAGCTGGCCTGTCCAAAGTCAGCCTCAGCAAATTCCAGACCGGCCAGCTCCTTTCACCACCTTGTGGCGTGCCAGGCGTCACAGCCACGGTCCCTAACAGCTCGCGAAGTGGGTGTCACGCCTTTTTTTTTCTTTTTTTTGCTAGTGTGGGGAACCAAGTACCCCAGGCCACAGTGCTAAAAGATGACAAAAAACAGAAGCTATGAATCAGGGTTTCCCGATTCTGAGACTAAAGCCCCTCCCGCCACACGAGAGCCGAACCTCACTAGAGAGTCCTCGCTTCATCTCGTTCTACGCAGGACCCTCCTGTCCTACAGCCTGTGCCACACCAGGTAGAGCAGCTTCCCTGAGAACAGCCGAGTCACACCCCGAGATGCCGAAGTGCCACTCAGGGGACCCAGGCGAAGCCTCCTGGCTGTCGTTCATGGTGAGCCAGTCTGCGCACTTCAGAGCGTCAGGGTGTTTGCCTTTGAAACTCCCAGCCTGTACTCTGCCAGCCTGCAGAGCTGTGATAGACAGAGCCACTGCGGCCAGCCCCTCAGCCGTGATGGAAGCAGCTTTTAAGGCCACACTGCGAATGGCAAGTGTCCTTAGCAAACTCTACATACTGTTAAGCCTTGGAGAATGAACGGCCAGACTGCACGGTCTCGGAAGGCTGCACACCCACCTCCCCCGCCACCACCACGCTCTGTGCTCTGCTTGGCCCTGGAAATGCACTTGGGTCTTTCTTGCAGGAGTTTGAGACTCCTCCCACCTCTTAAAATAAACCTAATTTAGACATATGAGGCAGCCAGATTGCACACAACCACCACCTCTCCCCCAGAACAGACTATGAGCCTGCAAGCCGTGGGGACTCTGGGCTCGCCCCCCAGCCAGTGGGCAACTTCTTTCTTCCAGATTTTTCACGGAGACCAGAGTCTAAACTCAAAGCAGTAATTACCTTAAAAAACGCCTCTGGGGTCATTGGTATCGGCCCTGAGGCAGCTGAGTCCCACTGTAAAGAAGCAGGTTGTCACGTTTGTGTGTCTCGTGCCGTGATGAGTGGAGGGAGAGGAGGAGGCAAGGAAGTTGGGGGAGGGGGGACACTCCTCCGCGTCTGCGAGCGCAAAAGCCTGGAGCTGAGCAGATGCACGAGAGGGTCTCTCGTCTCACGGGCTCCCTCCCTCTGCTGCTTTCCTTCAGGTAGCTCGGGGGTCATGACAAGCCAGCCACGAGCTGTCAGGTTTAAAACTGCGCATCTTTGCCTCCTCTAAACAGAAAGATAAACAGAACAACAGGACACAGGAAAACCCCATGGCGTTTGGAGGGCCAAGGCGTGCAGCCTTCCGAGACCGTGCAGTCTGGCGGTTGGTTCCACCAGGGCTGGGCGCCTAGTGGGGAACTGACCTGAGGGCCCCGGGCAGGCCGTCTTCAGATTGGACCCAGTCCCGGCCTCCTGACTCACAGCCCAGGCCTCTTCCTCTGGGGGTTCAGGAACTGTCTCTGAGTGCTTTTTCACTGCGGGTCTAAAAAGGAGCCTTAGCCATGCGCCCCACCCACAGAGGCCCCTGAACGGGAGGGCTAGATAGACAGCTGTAACTAGGTCACTCCTGGCTCCATGCCAGGCCGTCGGAGAGGCTGTCGGTCATCCAGGCAAGGCTGGACCCTGAGCCAGCCATCCGTCAGCAGGAGTCTGGGGTGCTACATCTGCTCACAGAGGTGGTGGGGTGGGCACGGAGGCCCCGAGGAAGGGCCCCCACCCGCTGCTGCTGTGCAGCCGACTCCCCACCCCTTGTCCTGAGCCCCTCCTCGGTCGTGGTGACCAAGCTGGCCCCATCCCTCCAGAGCTGGGCTTAGGGAGTGGTCTCGCAGACCCCGCCCTCCCCGGCATGCCTCCCCGAGGCTCTGCTGGCAGACCCCCTGGCTGAGGCGAGGCTCTGAGCAGCCCAGCACCGTGCTTAGCACCAGCCCTTCGGGGTTAAGGCTCACTGGGTCCAGGTCCTGGCTCTGCTACCCCTCGGCTGGGGGAACTGCTGCCCTCCAGGCCGCAGTCTGTCCACCTGTAACGTGACTCAGTGGCTTGTCCTGCGCGTGAGCGAGGTGACCGGCATGAAGCTCTCAGCGTGGGGCCTGCCCGGGGCCAGCAGCACTCAGTGAGCGGCGTCTGCTCCTGTGACTCAGGGGTCCGCTCTCCTGACGCCTCCACCCATCAGCGTCTTTCACCCCTGGACGGCCCATCGTGGTCCTGTCTGCTGGTGGAGGGACCCCCGGGTTTGATGCTTGACCACCCCAAACCCACCACACCACATTCCTGCCACGACTCAGAGTGTCTCTCTCTGCAGAGGCCACAGGGGCAGCAGCCTGCCAGCCGGGGTCCCCCTCCCTGGCCCACGGGTCCTGCCCACTTCCAGACTGCCCGTTGAATCCCCAGCCTAGCAGTCAGCTACTGGCCTGGCCAAGAGTGGGGCTGGGGCGGTCACACCCAGAGCAGAGCCCAGGCTGGGACCAGTCGGGGCCAGTCGGGGCCAGTCGGGGAGAGCAGCACTTTCCCTAAGAGCCTTTAGCAAAGGTCTCAGCGGCGGAACCTGTTTCGAACTCTAACAGCAGGAAGGCCCTCCCTCCTCACGACAGCCACAGGGCCGTCTGATTGCACTTGTCTTGCCTCGCGTTTTGGTCCCCTCCCCTCCCTTCCCGTGCTCTAAGTCAGTGTTTCTCAAACTGTCTGTCACGGGAGTCCAGTCGTTTATTTCCCCGAAACCATAGTGGGCCAGCCCTGTTGTCCAACAGCGAGAGGAAGTCTCTGCAAAACCGAGGCGCAGCGGCGGATAACTGCTCCGAGGTGACTGAGAGCCCGTCCGTCCCTGTGCGCATCTCTGTGCGGGCCGGTCAGCGTGTCGCAGGCCCCCAGGGGGCCCTCCCCGAACTGGGAGTCGGCTGCTCCGGAAGGCACAGACCCCGGGGTCCGCCCACCGTCCTGGGTGCTGAGCCTGCGGCCGCAGTCGGCCAGGCAGCTGCCCCGCCCCGCCCCGGGCACGCAGTGCTCCGGCCCCCGGAGGGTCTGGCCGGGCTTGGTGGGAGCTGTGCCCCAGGCACGCAGTGCTCCGGCCCCCAGAGGGTCTGGCCGGGCTTGGTGGGAGCTGTGCCCGGGCCCGGGAGGGTCTGGCCGGGCTTGGTGGGAGCTGTGCCCCGGCCCAGCAGCCCCGGGCGCCCTTACCATTCCATGCCAGCGCGGTTGATCTCTTCCCACCAGCACTCGGTCGGCTCCCCCAGGCTCTGCGGCGTGGGCATGCAGGCATAGTTCCACTGTCTGTCAGACCCTTCCTTCTTGCTGAAGATGCTCCTCACGGCCACCACCACCTGCCCGTGGGGACACTGGTAGCTGAAGCCCTGCCGGTTCAGGTTCACCCAGCCATCGTCGCTGTAGTCGTGGTACTGTTGGTACGGGTACCCGTAGTCGCCGTACTGGCCCTGGGCCACCGTGGCCAGCGGCAGAAGCATCCACAGGACAGTGAGGCTCATGCTGCCCGGGCTACTGGCAGACGTGTCACCCTAGGCCTGCTGGGCGGACCGTTTTATACAGCTGCGGCCGACATGTGGCCTCCAGATGTGGGTGAGCCGGCGCCAAGTGCAGTGTGTCATCGTTGAAGCAAAACTGTTCTGAGCGGCCATCCGTCCACCCAGCTCGTTTTAAGGTGGAACTCTAGGAAAGCGCACGGCGCGCTTGGGGAAGGGGAAGAAACGGCCTGGAGCCAGAACAGCTTTGCGGGGAGATCACAAAAGCAGAAGGCCTCACAGTCCCTAGAAACACCGCCGAGGACGCAGCGATCTGCTCGTCATCGCTCGGCACCTGGCCTCTCTGCGCCCCTGCCCCGCTGGCAGACCCCCGTGGCCGCTCTCCAAACTGGCCGTCCACCGCCGCACGCATGTCCAGAGGGTAGTCCCGAGAACGGCGTCCCACGTGGCAGCACCGGGGCC